TACTCAATTTATATATAAAGGTAAACTCTATTATTACTATAAAAAAATTCAAATTAAACAGTAGTATTGTTTTTTATTTTTTTTAATTTTTTTTTTAATTTTTTTTTTTATTATTAATAATAATTTTCATTTTATTATATTTTCTTTTTTTTTTTTTTATTTGTCATTAATTATTTTCCTTTGTTATATAATATTATATTTTTTTTGTTTCAATAAAATTTTTTTTTTTAAATAAATTTTATTTTAATTTTTGTATATATATTTTAAACACTACAATTTATTTTTAATAGTAATAAAAAATGTTTGATTTAGATACTTTATTAATAGTTTTCTATATTTTTGTTTTTTCTGTATTTAATTTCCTTAGTACCGCAATCATCATCAAATACTATCGTCCACAACATCAACAAAACAATAATGTTCAAATGTTTAATAGAGAAGATGTTGATCGTCTTTTGGAAACCCAAAAGAATGAAATTATGATGAAGGTAAGTTTCATTTAACATAAACTATATTTTATAATTTATTAATATTTATTTATTAAAAATATTTAGTTTTCCGAAGAAAAGGAAATCCTATCAAAAGAAAATGCGGTTATTCAATCGAAATTAGAAAAAAATCAAAATAATTCTTTAAAATTAAAAAGATTGCTATCAGTTTATGAAAATGAAATGAAGAAGGTACTAAATCAACCTTTATCAGAAACTGACTCAGCAAAATTAAAAAAGGCATTAAACGAAAACGAACAATTAAAAAAGGTAAATATTTAAATAGAAATAATTATTGATAAATCAATATTAATATTAATTATTAATGATCAACAAATGTTTATTAATATTTAATATTAAAAATCAAAACTTTATTTTTACTAATATCTTATTCTATTTTTATTTTTATTCTCTTTTAATTTAGAAAACCATTGAGCTTGAAGAAACAAACTCCAAACTTAATAATGAAATTCAAGTTCAGGTTTATAAATTTAATGCCCTCAGAGTACGTACAGAGTCAAGATTGGAGAATGCATCAGAGCAATTATCTGAAATAAAAAAGGTTGCAAATAAAGAAATTTTGGCATTAAGATTAAAATTAAAAGATTCACAATCTAGATTAGCTTTGGGAAAAAGACAATACGATGATATGGCCAAATCATCTGTTGAATTTTTTTCAAATGCTCCAAATTGCAACAGTTATGAATTATCTAATCACTCCAATGATATTTCAACTAGTAATGGATCTGATAAAAGTTCTCCAATTTGTCCAAGCTCCTCATCAAGCTTAAATAGTAATTCATGGAGCACTTCTGATAGCCCACCCCTTTCATCATCAAATGGTGAAAGTGATAATTTGAAAAAGTAAAAGTTGGTTATTAACGAAGCCCTACTTTCTATTAGAGAAAATCCAGGGCATCATTTCATCTAGATCAATATCAACAATTACTTTTTCTATCTCAATTAGTAGTTCAGAAATTCCATAACGATATAATCACAGGAGGTCATGCCGTACTAATCAGAATTTATGCAAAGATTTAAGAAAACATAAAAGATTTACACCATTCATATATCAAAACTATTCATCAAAACTTTTCACCACCAAAAAACAATAAATAGAAATTGAAACAATTATTGGACCATGCAGGTAAAAAACCACCACTTAGATTCACTGGTAAAGCATATCCAATAATAGAGAAACCAATCAGTATTTTGAAAACTAAATTATTATAAATTTAATTAAATAATCATTTAATAAATAAATTTTAATAATTAATAGTTTTAATAATTAAATTAAAAAAAGAAAATAAATCATTTCATATATAAAAAAAAAATATAATAAAATTAAAAAATATAATAAATTTAAAAACTTTTTTGATTATTTATGATCTTTTTATTTTTTATTTTTTTATTTCTATCACTGTTGCTATCTTCTTGACTACTTTACTATTGTCACTATCTCTTTCACTATCTTTTTTAATTAATTTTATTTTTTTATCTAATTTTCTTTTTAATAGCTTTTCCTATTTTGAAAAATATTTTTTCTTTAATAAAGAAAGTATAAATACCACTGTTACAACCAGGCCGAGAATCATTGCGGATATAACCACCACTTAATCTAGCATTATTTTTTTTTTTTTTTTTAAAAGTGAAGATAATTAAAAGCAAATGCTTTAAATTAATCAGTAAAATGCTTTAAATTAAGCAGTAAAATTTTATTTAATGTTTATCTAGCATTATAAGCACCGGAAAACCAGAAGATCTTAAATTATTTGCAGTTGACGAAAACTGCAATAAAAAAAAAAATTTCAATGGGTCACCGAAAAGATAAAACCCTCAAAAAAGACTCCCCGTCCGGGAATTGAACCCGGGCCTTTCGCGTGACAGGCGAAAATCCTCACCACTAGACCAACGGGGAAGAGATATATAACTAAAATTTTATTGTAGCCAAAACTCATTTTTCGGAAAAATTAAATTAACTAAAATTAAATAATCAAAATTAAATTAAATTACAAGTAAGAAGGGGTAAGTCAAAAATTCGTGGTTAGCAATTAATACAAAAAAATTTGAAAGCTGTTCTCCATTTTTTTTGAAGTTAAAATTTTGCAGTTACCAAAAAAGAGTTTTCCATTGAAGATTCCCAAAATAATATTATAAAAAAATAATACATTTTATCAATTATTTATTATAAATTCCAGAATTTCTTTTATGTTGATAATTAAGCATAAGTACTTATGTTTTCTCTTATTTTGCAATCTGTCACCTATACCTATGCTTTCAATTTTGTTTTAGAAATCTTTTTATATTTTATTGTTGTCTGTGTTTTGGTATTAATTGATAAATTAAAATAAAAAATAAGGGATTTACAATAATTTATAGTATTGATCATACAAAGTCGAAACTATTTGGGAAAATACTGTATTAATAAAAAACAAATTTAAAGATTATAAAGAACCAAAAGAGGGCGATGAATTGATAGAGGAACCACATATTGCCATGGAAGACATAGAACTTTTCAAAAAAAAATCCAAAGTAGATCAACGATATTAAAACCATCATCCAATACCTCAAACAGACCTCATGGTAAGTAATGGATCGATAAAAACATCAAAAGAGATATCAACAGTAAAGCTATTATAGAAATGTATAATAATTCCCAATAAAAAGAAATGGAGAAACCAATCATCAAATTTACTACATTTATAACATTAAGAAAAGTCCCTACTAACAATGGCAAAATATGGAAATGCTATTAACCAAACCATTGCCCGCTCCAAGGAAAACAGATCCAATAAGATAGAATATTTTATTTTTTATAATATATTTTTATTAATTATTTTTTTTATCTTCTTTTTTTTCGACATGGTCAAAGAAATAAATATCTTTAATGGCGAATGAAACTAAATAAGAGAGTGCTCCACGGAAATTTGGTGGTGAAATACTGAATAAAATACCTAAAAGGAATGTTGGGAATGGGAATGAAATTTGAGCCATATTGTATTTAATACCATTGGCAATAATTTTAATTGCTTGGTCGACATTTAAACAAAATAATAAATCTTGTCTCTTGAAGCTATCAGTCATTGGAGTTGTAATGAAACCTGGAACAATAACACTGACACCTACACCAAATTCTGCCATTCTCTTTCTAAGGGTGAATGCGTATGAGGTGATATAGGATTTAGATGCAGAATAAGCTGGGAAGAAAAAGTCCATATAACCTGCTAATGAGGATGTAATACAAATTTGGCCACCTTTACGTTCTTCAAACTTTGATAAAAGTGGTAAAACAGTGTTAAGCATACCAATAACATTAGTTTCTGTTAATTTGTGTGTTTTTTCTTCAAAATCAAAATCATTTGGTAATTGTGCTAATTAATTTCGATTAATTTAAAATAAAAAAATTTCGATTAATAAAAAAATTTTAAAAATAGAAATAAAATAAAATAAAATCTATACTTACATTCAATAATACCAGCATTGGCAATTAATAAATCGACTGGGTATCTATTATCAAAATCGGTTAAATACTTTTTCATTGTTTTTCTATCAGTTACATCAGCAATTTTAATTTCTGCGACAGCACCTTTAGCTTCACATTCTTTTTTACATTTTAAAAGATTGGCTTCATTTCTTCCAAACAATGAAATGGTAACACCTGGTTGAGAGTAATGTAATGCTAATGAATAGCCAATACCACTTGATGCACCTATAAAAAAAAAAAAAAAAATTAATTTTACTATTTATGAAACAGTTTAAATAAACGATGATATTTACCAGTAATAACAATATTTTTTGGAGAATTAAATGTTTTATTTCTGAATAAGTTAACCAATGTAAAAATTGGTGTTAAACCTAATACTAAAACTGATAAAATTACAGTTAAAAATGCAACAATGTAATCTCCTGCTAAATTTAATATTTTATATAATAACAACATCCTCTTATTTTTTGATTTTTAAAAAAAAAATATAAAAATTTTAAATGATACGATTTTTAAAAAAAAATAAAAAAAAATATTTTTAAATTAAAAAAATATTTTTAAATCAATTAAAAAAAAAAAACCGAAACTATTTGTTCAACAATCAACCTCAACTTTTAAGGAGATTCTCAAAAAAGGTTTTTTTTTTTGAAAACTTCACATTAACTCTTCAATTTCGAAAATATATATTTCAAATAAATTTGTTCATTCAAACAAATAAAAATGTTTTGATTTTACAATCAAATTAAATTTTTTTTTCTTAATAATTTAAATTAACATTTAATTTCTTTGTGTTTTATCTTTTTTTTTATAAAATAATTATGAAAATAAATATAAAAATACACATTTTTGTTAATACCAAAATGATCACTATTATTTAAATCAATGAAAAAATCAATTAAATAAATATTATTAATTATAAAAAAAAATTAAAACCAATTTTTTCAAATATATTTATGTATTGGTGGTAAAGAGATATATATATATCTATGTTTATTAAATAGTCGGAAATTTATTTGGTTTTTTAAAAAATATTTAAACTAATATAGTTTAAATTAATTATTTTTAATTTGAACCTATAAAATAAAAAAATTTTCTTATTATTAGTAACAAAAAAATTTTAAAAAATACAATTTATAGCTTAAATTTACCTGAACCGCTACCTGAACCACTTGAGCTACCGCTTGAACTACCTGATCCGCTTGAGCTACCTGATCCACTTGAGCTACCTGATCCACTTGAGCTACCTGATCCACTTGAGCTACCTGAACCGCTTGAGCTGCCTGAACCGCTTGAGCTACCTGAACCGCTTGAGCTACCTGAACCACTTGAGCTACCTGAACCACTTGAGCTACCTGAACCACTTGAGCTACCTGAACCACTTGAGCTACCTGAACCTGAAGATGAAGTTCCACTTGAGGTAGTACAACCACTACCACTGCCAAAGAAGTTTAAGTCAACTGAAACACCACATTGGTTGGTATTACCAACATATTGTTTCATAGTTGGGCTAGTCCAACCACCAAATTGGTAGAATGATGAATCTGTATATTTATTTTTTAAAAAGTTAGAAAATAAATTAAATAAAAGAAAAACAAATCTTTATTCTTACCTGAAAAGCTTGGATTGTTATCATAATGAGCATACTAAATTTTCGAAAAATGAGGAGAAAAAAAATTAATAAAACAATAACCTTTAAATAAATTTGAATAATTTTTAACATACCCATAATGGATAGCTATTTAAACTACTTAATGAACCAACAGTTTGGCTCCATTCTAAAAAAAAAAAGAAAATTTGATTAGTTATCTTTTTTTTTTTTTTTTACAATAATAATAATAACATACCACCAATACTTGAATAAACACCAACATTAACACCAAGTGAAGCGGCAGCTTGAACAGCTTCGACAACATAATTGGCATTATCGGTAGTATCGGACCAACAACTGTCACATTGTTCGACATCAATCCATAAAGTGCCAAAGTTAACCTATTTTAAAACCAATAATTAATAAATTTGTAAAAAAAAAATAAAAAAAACCAATATTTACACCATCACTTTTAAGGTTGCTAACTAAAGTTTCAATAGCAGATGAAGCTGGGACACAACCAGAGCATTGGTTACATAAGAAAGCATAGAGATCAACAGTTTGAATACCAGCTGATTGAGCACCTGAAACTGCAGAGGCAATAGCACTAAAATAATAATAATAATAATAATAATAATAATAATAATAATAATAATAATAATAATAATAATAATAATAATAATAATAATAATAATAATAATAATAATAATAATAATAATCATTATTAATAAGAATGAATTTAAAAAATAAAATTAAAAATAAAAAATAAAAAATAAAAAACTATTTACCTATTATAACCATAACCACCACCTGGATATTATTTAAAAAATTAAAAAGTTAATTAAAAATATAATTTAAAAAAACATAAAGAAAAAAAGGGGTTGCACAAAAATTTTTTTATTTATTTTGTGAATGTTACTTACTCCAAGCTTGAATGATAACTCTTGAGTTTGATTGAGCTAAACATGAGAAAGCTTGTGAGGAAACTGATGATGATGTGTCACTATCAAAATCAACACCACAGTCGGCATTAATAACAGCAATTGTAATTAAACAAAAAAGAAATAAACCTAATAATTTGTTCATTTTGATAAAAATTAAAAATAAAAATAATAAAACTATGAAAAAAAAAAAAAAAAACTTTAATAAAAAAAAAAAATCAAAAAAATTTAAAATTTAAAAATAAAAAAAATAAAAAAATAAAAAAATAAAAAAAAAAAAAAAAAAAAAAGATAATTACGGACGGATGGTTTTCCCAATGATTTTTTTAAAAAATTAAAAGAACTTTCCTTATTATTAATGAAAAAATCTTTTTTGATTTTATTTTTATTTTTTTTTTTACCAGGTTAACTAAAAAAATAGTTTACAATAATTTTATTTTTACTTTTTTTTTATACCGATGATATATTTTCAATTTTGAAATTTTTAAAGTCTTTTAAACCATTTAATTTTAATAAAAAATCCTCATCAAAAACTACATTTTTGAGATAACCATTTTGATAGTAAAATTTGAATATGCCAAAGCACTTCCAATCAACAATTCTGTTGCATATGTAAAGATCTAAAAAAAAGTGATGTGGAAAATGTTTTATTAATAACTCTGATACTTGTAAATTTAAATACCAATTGAAACCTCTGCAATTTATTGAATTACGTTTATAGATTGTTCTACTTGATTGGGAATTTTTTCTATTGCATATTTTATAAAACCATAGGAATTCAAAAGTAAAACTGAAGCTAAATCTAAATGCTTTAAATTTTCTTTTTTATAGTTGTCTATGAGGTATTTAAAAACAAAAAAGTTATTATTGGATACTGAATATTCAAAAATATTTCCATAAGAAATAAATTGACTTTTTATATCTAAAATCTCCTTGATCTCTTCCACATTTTGACAAAACCTTATAAAGAATAATAACTGGGATTGTATTTTTTGGGATGTAAAATGTTTTGCCATAGCTTGGTCATTTGCATCCATACTAGTATGGCTCGAACTATACTGTAACAAAAAATCTTTTAAAGTTTTGATGTATATATCATTTCTAAAAATACTAAAAAAGAATAAAGCATTTTTTAAAAATATCTTAATTCTGCCCAATCTTTCTAACAAGTAGTCAAATGTTGCAATTGAAATTAAATTGAAATCAAACATTGAAAAATTAAAATTCTTCAATACATTTCGAATTAAATTACTTGCGGGGTTTTTCGTAGCCTCGGTTAAATTTGAAAAATACTCTAGATCTGATGTGGTGTGGTATAAAGAAATAAAATATAGGGAAAATTTCTTTGATTTGTTTGTAAACCAATAGTAAATGTTGAAATAGTCAATATTGATTTCAATTGAATGTTCCTGATATATTGGGTGAACTTGATTTTTAATTTTATCTATTGTGCTATCCTTTGACTGAATAATTGCTTTGTAGAGATATTTGTAAATAATTTGGATTGGAAACTTTTTTTTATCAACTTTGGGTAATTTTGAGAATAGTAGTTTGATGATCTTTAAAATTGTGTCATATCTATTATTGCTAATTAGAGAAGATTCATCAATAATGAATGAATAGGTTTTCTCGTCATTTGAAATCAAGTTTAAAAACTTCTTCGGGTTTATCTGTATACCAACATCACAATGTAACAAAAAATTTAAAATTGGTAAATTAAGTTTATAAATTGAATCTAATAATAATTGATAAAATAATGTTTCATTTAATTTTAGATTAATTAAACTCCTATTCTCTTCAATTTCTTGATCGGTAAATATTGAATAAAACTCAACGACTTCACTTTTTCCTTCCAAAATGGTTTTTTCATAGGGTGCACCATTTTGATCTATGCTATATAATAGTGTGCTAAAATACTTGACAAACAAATCTGGAATGAAATTTTTGAACCCTGTACTTGTTAAATAATTTAAAAGTTGTTTTCTTGAATTTTGATCTTGATACAATTTACTTGAGAAAGTTTTTGATTTAAGCGGAACCTGTTTATAATTTAATTCCTGGTTATGCATTACGAAACCTAATTGATCTATTTTTTTTAATGTTTCAATATCACAATCATTTATTGATTTTTTAAATAAATAATAGTAGAGATGGTATTCTTTTATTTCACAAAATCTTTCGTACCATTCAACTCCTATAATTTCCTTAATTTTTTTTCTAAGTTGTATTAATTTATCCCAAAAATATTGGATTAATTCAATAGATGATATTTTAAAATTTTGAACAAATTCTCTACCAAACTCTGGATTTAAAGGACTCATGTGGTGGTGGTCATTATTTGGATCAAAAAAAATTAGTCGTAAATTTGAATAGTTTTTGAAAATAAAGTCTATTATTTCTTTTGAATCGATTATAAATGGAATTTTTTTTTTTGGGGACCTGATAAATCCGGAAACACTTTATTTTTTTCAAAAAACCATTTCCATACATTCTGACACATTTCACTAGCTCCTATTTCAAATAAATAAGCTGACATAGTTGATTTTTTTGTTTCTAAGAAATCTAAAAAATTGTAAAGTTGATCATTTGACATTTCAGTAATGCTACTTATCAATCTACCTGTTACCAAATATTTAACAAAATCTTTTTCCCATAAGGATCCCAATGAACCATTCTTTTGATTAAAAAATTCAATTATTTTTTCGGGGGTTAAAACTGAAAAATAAAAAATAAAATTTTATTTTTTTTAAAAATTATTTTATTTTATTTTATTTTTTTATTTTTATTTTATTTTTAATTTTAAAAAAAAGGAAAATATAAATATATTATTTAGTTGAGATATAATCATAACAGTAATATTCATTTAATTCTAAAATGCATATGAATACATTACATAGTTTTTATTTGTTTTTTTTTTTTTTTTAAAAGTGAAGATGATCCTTAATGATGTATTAAGTAATCAGTTTATTGTGTTTTTTTTTGTTTGGTAAGTGTTTAATGCTTATATGAGTTTTACCACACTGCATACAAGTTGGGCACGGTAACATCAATTCGTGTGTGATTCGAAAATCTACCTTACAGCTATCATTACTCCCCCACCATTTTGGGGGAAGCTGGTCACCGAAAAGATAAAACCATTTAAAAAGACTCCCCGTCCGGGAATTGAACCCGGGCCTTTCGCGTGACAGGCGAAAATCCTCACCACTAGACCAACGGGGAAGAGATATGAAAAATAAAAAATAATCACTTATTTTATACAAAATAAAATATATATTTATATAATTTATTAAATTTAAATTATTTATGCTAAAAATATTTATAGAATTATATATCATTTATTCCAAATTTGGTTTTCCTAAATTTAAAAAATTTTAATCAATAGATTTAAATGAATAAAATTTATTTTTTTTTTTTTTTTTTTTTTTTTTTTAAATTTTTTTTCATGATTTTTTTTCATGATTTTTTTTTTTTAACATTCAAATAAAAGGAATCTAAATTAATACATGAACTATGGGAAAGAATAATAAATTTCTTCTTCTAAAACTATATTTATATGATAAATACTTGGTATATAAATTATAAGGTTATATTTAATTAAATTTTTTATTTAATTTTTTGAATTAATATTATTTTTTCGATATCATTGTAAATATAACAATTACATAATCTCTCTATGTGTGGGTTCATAAAAATAATAAATTTTAATTTTTTTTAAGCCGATCGGTAAACTTAAATTTTGAAGAAAGTGTGGGTGTGTGTGAGTGGGTGTGTATGTTTGCTTGTTTTTTTTAATTTTAAAATTATCTCTTAGTATTCATGTTGATAATATTATATTTTTACAAAAAAAAAAAAAAAAAAAAGAAAAAAAAAAAAAAGAAAAGAAAATTAAAAACACACACAATTTAATTATTGTTATATTATATATTATATTTTAAATTTTCTTTTTTCTTTTTTTTTTTTTTAATTTAAATTTAAATTTGATAATTTAATTAAATTTAAATTTAAATAATTTATTATTTTTTTCTTGTTTAATTAGTATTAATATATTTTTTTATTAAATACTACAATTATAATAATAATCTTCTTTATAATAATTGTATTTTTTTTATATATAAATAAACATCAATTCTATAGAATTTAATTTATAATTGAACAAAAAAAAATGGATATTAAAAAATTTAAAATCCAAAAAATCGACTTTTCAAAATGTGGGCAGAAATATAATGGTTTCCAATCAAACTGTTATCCAAGGGAAATTTTTGAACATTTTTTATCATTAAATCAATTTGAATGTACTATAGAAAAAATCAATCAATGTATCATAAGATACACTAAATCAATTAGAACTTTAAACTTTACTTTTCTCATAATTTTTATAATATCATTCATTGGAGTAATGATTGGCTTTTGTAAATTTAAAATACTACTTTTTATTTGTTCCATAACCTCATTATTAATAATTATTTTAATAATATCTTTGAATGTTATTATAGAGAAAAATGTAAGTAAAAAAATTTGAAAAAATTAAATTAAATTAAAACAAAAACTAATTAATTTTTTTATAGCATAAAAAACTATTAAATAATATTGTTAATGAATTTAATACAACATATGAAAATCAATTTATAAAATTAGAAATCATTAGAAACAAAAAGAAAGGATGTTATAAAGCTAATATTTATTATCCAACATTAGAAAAACAAACTCAAGTTAAAATGTACAATATTAATGAAAAAACCATTACTAATGATAAGACTGCTCAAAAACCAGACCCAATAAACAACCCTAATCATGAACTCTTAATAAATAAAATTATAAATAATATAACTATAGATAATTAATTAATAAAAAAAATATAAAACAAAATAATAATTTTTTAGTTTTTTAAAAAATTTATATAAACCTTTTTTCCTTTTTTTTTTTTTATATATAAAATCTATAGAATAAAAAAAAAACAAAGATTAATGTGTAATAATGTAAAAGATAAACAAAGATTATAGATAAACAGAGATTATAGATAAACAAAAAAAATTATCAATCTTTTAATAAAAATAAATTGTAGATAAAAATATATATCTATTTATTTTATTAATTTTATTTTTTTTTGTATAAAATGAATTGTAAAAATTGTAATTTGATATTAAAAGTATTCTATTATTACTACTATCTTATGATTAATAATTGCTTATTATTTACTGGTATAGTTGGTGGTGGTAATGGTGATCTCTGGGGTAAATGGTATAATTGAACCTGGGGTTGT